GGGCGATATGCTGACTCTGTAAACCGCTTAGAGAGGGCTGAAAGCCCTATGAAGCGGTATATAAGTCTAACTGCTATTCCTATTGCTATTGCTAAGCCTGATAAGGTCTGTGGTTGTCAATTCACCCTTGAAAGACTGTTTCGCCGGGACTTTGCTGGATGTGAATGAGAGGAATTCGCGTTAGCTTAATAAAAAGGGACTTTTGTCAAGGCAAGGAATCTGCTTGGTGTTTTTGTGATGCGTAGGTGAGAACACTCCTCCTCCTACACCTTTTATTCTGCCTGTTTGTACTTACTAAAACAAAGGTTAAACCTCACAGCTTTTTTGAAATCTAGCCAGTTAAATTTCTTTCAGCCAACTCTCACGGAGGTATGCATAATATGAAGTAAAAAACGAGCATCCTATTATCTATTGCTTACTCAATTCTTTTGAACTTAACTCTTTCAAGAAAAGGGGAAAAATAAAAGATTTGTTTAAATCTTTGATGCCCTGGAATCGTATTGTATTTCTCCTTGATATCATAGTAATGCTTTTTTACGATATTGTGGTTGACTAACCTTGAAAAGATAATGGTAATGACTGGAACAATATCACGCTATTATGTACAACAGAACTGATCTATATGTGAATGGAATGAGTCCATTCAGAAGGAAGCAGTGTCTGTGTGAATCTGATTGCTCATTATCCAGACTGATGATTGAAAGTTCTAGATCCAGCTGAACTCTACGCTTTGTAAAAAACATTAAAATCAAGTTGGAAGTGCTGGATGAGGCAAAGGCATCCAAAGGTCTTCTTTATCCAAGCATCTGGTTTCTGAACTCTGCATTGGCGACAGGGAGGGCATCCGGCCAGGAAACACTGAGCTCCCATTCAGTTGCCCCAACTCCACCCCCAATGCAAGGGATTACGAAGCCATTAAAAAACCAATGGGACGGTTTTGCCAAAATCAGAAGTAAAACCATTGGGAAATTTAGTGGATTGAGGAAGAGACGAGACGAGAGCCAGGATTGCTGAACAAAAGGTTTATCGCAAAGAAACTATTTACAGGCGATTCAGCACCATCCCTGCTTGACAGCTATTTAAACGAGCTGTTAGAGCAGGGATAGCCAATAGGTGCCCATCAACTGTCTGGCAACTGATGACGCTGTGCCCCAACCAATCAGGGCGCCTCTAGCAGCTAGCAACAGGCGATGCTGCACCCCAGCCAATCAGGGGGCAGCCTGGCTTGTTGCTA